GAAGGGTCATGAGGAGACTATACAGTTGTATTTAATTGACTCTCCTGCGTTTCCAGTGGTGTTGGGACTTCCCTGGTTAATATCTCATGACCCCAACATTTCATGGCAACAGAGGGCTCTCAAGGGATGGTCTGATCAGTGTGTGGGGCGGTGTGTAGGTGTTTCCGTAGGCGCAACGACGGTGGAGAGTCCGAACCAAATGCCCACAATGCACATTCCTCCTGAGTATGCCGATTTGGCAAGCGCCTTCTGTAAGAAGAAGGCGACTCAATTACCACCTCATCGACAGGGGTATTGTGCGATAGACCTCCAGGTTGGCGCGGCGCTCCCTCGCAGCCATGTGTATCCTCTGTCTCAGGAGGAGATGGCTGCTATGGAGACATACGTCGCCGAATCCTTGAGACAGGGATACATCCGGCCTTCCACTTCTCCTGCGTCCTCAAGTTTCTTTTTTGTGAAGAAGAAGGATGGGGGTTTACGCCCGTGTATTGATTACCGTGGTCTCAATCAGATCACTATTACATACAGCTATCCTCTCCCTCTGATTGCTAGTATGACGGAGTCATTACACGGGGCGCGCTTCTTCACAAAATTGGATCTCAGGAGCGCTTACAACCTGGTGCGCATTCGGGAGGGAGATGAGTGGAAAACAGCCTTCAGTACCACCTCGGGTCACTATGAGTACCTCGTCATGCCATACGGTCTAATGAATGCTCCTTCAGTCTTCCAATCATTTGTAGACGAGATTTTCCGGGATTTGCATGGACAGGGGGTAGTGGTGTATATTGATGACATTCTGATATACTCCGCTACACGTACCGAGCATGTGTCCCTGGTACGTCGGGTGCTGGGTAGACTGTTGGAGCATGATCTGTATGTGAAGGCAGAGAAATGTCTGTTTTTCCAGAAGTCCATCTCCTTCCTGGGACACCGGTTGTCTGCGTCAGGGGTGGAGATGGAGATTGACCGCGTTTCAGCCGTGCGTAATTGGCAGACTCCAACTACAGTAAAGGAGGTGCAGCGGTTTTTGGGTTTAGCCAATTACTACCGCAGGTTTATCCGGGGTTTTGGACAGGTAGCGGCTCCCATTACCTCCCTGCTAAAGGAGGGCCCGGTGCGTTTGCAGTGGTCGGCTGAGGCGGACAGGGCGTTTAGTCATTTGAAGGACATGTTCACCTCAGCTCCGGTGCTGGGAAGTTACAACCTCTCCCTGTTCCACAACGGCCGTGGTCTCACCTGTCGGTGGATTTTGTCACGGACCTTCCCCCCTCCCAGGGGAATACCACGATCTTGGTCGTTGTGGATCGGTTTTCTAAGGCCTGCCGTCTCATCCCTATGCCAGGTCTTCCTACAGCCCTACAAACGGCCGAAGCCCTGTTTACTCACGTTTTCCGGCACTACGGGGTGCCTGAGGATATAGTGTCTGATCGGGGTCCCCAGTTCACCTCTAGAGTGTGGAGGGCATTTATGGAACGTTTGGGGGTCTCGATCAGCCTTACCTCGGGTTTTCACCCTGAGAGTAATGGGCAGGTGGAGAGAGTGAACCAAGATGTGGGTAGGTTTCTGAGGTCCTACTACCAGGACCGGCAGGAGGAGTGGTCGGGGTATATTCCCTGGGCAGAGATACCCCAAAACTCACTCCGCCACTCCTCCACTAATCTCACTCCTTTCCAGTGTGTGTTGGGCTATCAGCCGGTTCTGGCACCCTGGCATCAGAGCCAGATCGCGGCTCCTGCGGTGGATGAATGGTTTCGGCGCTCGGAGGAGACATGGAACGCTGCGCACGTCCATCTGCAGCGGGCCATCAGACGGCAAAAGGCGAGCGCCGATCGCCACCGCAGTGAGGGTCCGGTTTATGCACCGGGAGATCGGGTCTGGCTCTCGACCAGAAACCTGCCCCTTCACCTGCCCTGCTGGAAGCTGGGCCAGCGGTTTGTGGGGCCATTTAAAGTCCTGAGGAGATTGAACGAGGTATGTTATAGGTTACAGCTGCCTGTTAATTATCGCATTAACCCCTCGTTCCATGTGTCTCTCCTCAGGCCGGTGGTAGCTGGTCCACTCCAGGAGAATGAGGTACGAGAGGCCCCTCCGCCCCCACTAGACATCGAAGGGGCTCCGGCGTACTCAGTCCGTTCCATCGTGGATTCAAGGTGTCGGATGGGGGGTCTGCAGTATCTCGTGGAGTGGGAGGGGTACGGTCCGGAGGAACGGTGCTGGGTCCCTAGGAGGGACATCCTAGATCCCTCCCTGTTGACAGAGTTCCACCGGAGTCACCCAATTCGCCCTGCTCCACGTCCTCCTGGCCGTCCCCGAGGCCGGGGTCGGCGCACGGCTGGAGCCGCGCGTCAAGGGGGGGGTACTGTCACAGATTCTGCCGAGGCTGCTCCTCCTCCTTGCTCGGGCAGGCTTCGGCGTTCGTCGTCCCCGGAGAACTAGCTACTGCCGTTCGATGTTATTGGTGTTTGTTTAGTTTTGTCTGTATTGTTTACACCTGTTCGTCATTATGTTAATTGTTTCCCTTATAATTACCCCTGTCTCTCATCTGTACTTTGTGTGTGATTGTTTTCCCCTTCACGGTTGTCCATTTTTGTGAGCGGGTTATTTCCTCCCTGCGTGGAGTTATTTTCTGTGTCCTTTTGGATCCTTTTCGTCTTAAAAGTACGTATCTGAGAGTTCTGTGTCCTGCGCCTGACTTCGTTTACCGCATCTCACAGACAGTCGTGACACATAAACTCTTTATGACAATGCATTACATATATCATAAGGCCTTTCTTTGAGGGCCTAGTTATAACCTAACACAGTATTGTTAGAAAACTCCTGGTTTACAGGCCACATCAGGCCTGCACGTCACATTATGCTGGCTTGCAAAGGGATGTGTAATTCCTATTGGAATCCAGCCAGAGTGAGGAAATCCAACAATTGGAACTTTTAATCACCCACAACCTGCATTCAGAATGACTGCCTGGTTAAGGAAGATTGAGTAATTGGACTACCTAAATCATCTAAACTGGAACAACCATCTCAGTAACAGGTGCAATAAATCAAACTACTCACAGATTGGAACAGTTTAGAAAAAGGTATGTTATTTATCTTTGTGTAGTATAATATTAATCAACCAATCAATGTACATGCAAAAACACAGATATTGCAACAAACAATACAGAAAATCAACTTGCAATAGAGCATGTTGGGAAATATGATAATTTTGGGTGTGGTTCTGAGTGTTTTACTAAACACAGAGTAAAAATTAAACTCCTGAATGAACACTAGAAATGTTACACTGAAAAATCAACATTAAGTAAAACTGGCCAGTTTGCTGTGTACCATACAATACACTGCTGGTTCACTCATACTTCCTTCTATCCTCCTACTTTGCTCAATAAAATCACAGAAAGTACTCATTTGACAGAGAGAAATCAGGGCAAAGAAATCAACTATGTCAGTACTGTGTATGTAAAATGATTAAGGGAATACCAGATACACGCACAAATATTCCCATATAGGTACACACCTATCTTTATAAATGTATATCAGATTTTTCAAATCCTAATATTAAAGTTTAAACACTGAGGAAAACACTCATGCTCAGGCACTATTTAAAAGAAAGAAAAAAAAGACAATAAAAAATTATATTCAGATTCATAAGGGTTCTATGTAAAACCCTTCTTGCCTTCCAAATAATCCTTCTTGCTTTCCAAACAATCATCAAAGAACCCTTTATTCAAAAAACGGTTATTAGGATGAAAAAGGTTCTAGGTAGAACTCTTTGCCTTACAAAGAACCCTTGTCTTCCAAAAAGGAAGGGTTCTTCAGATGAAAACGGATCTTGGTAGATTACTATCACCAAAACGGATCTTGGTAGATTACCCCCCCCCCCCCCCCCCCCCGGGGTTAATCATAGCCTATTGGTAAATGAATGAGCACATAGGATACAATTTAAACGTAGGCCTAATATGATTTATGATTGATGGGCTGTAATGATTGTTTCTGATTTTTGTTGAGATGGCATGAAAGCAGTATTGATTCAATCAGCGTGTTACCATTTCCGCATCAAAAGGACAGAATGTTGAAACCGTTTTTTTTTACCCATGAGCTCAAGAGACGTCTGCGTTATCCATTTAATTGATTTTCCTGTAGGTTTGTAAGAATGCATATAATGCCAAAGGCTACAATGAATAAATTGATTTAGTTATGTTGTAAAACGGTTACAAACACACTGCAACATCTTGAGTGGTTATACACGTTGTAGGCTACGTTAATAAGCACTATGACATTTGCAATTATTTATGGGATAACATGCACGATCGGAGTCTCATCGTCATCCAAAGGATATGCAACTGAATTGTAGAACCATTTAAATGGCTGCCCTAATGGCCCAATAATAACATGCATTATGGAAATTAACAATGATTCTGTGAAAGAATGTTGGGTTTAATTCCATAATTAAATGGGGAATGCAGAAAAGGGCGCGCTTCCCAGGTGCTCTTATCAATAGGCTTATAGGCTATTTAGGCTACCATAATTAAAATAGTGGGTACCATAATTTATTGCCAATGCAAAATTATGCTATATCTATTCCACTATAGGCGAAGTTCATCAAACACTAATCATGAGTGGGCCAAAATTATTCAGTAGAATCAGGAATTGGCGTGTTCAACTTAATTAAACAAAAGTATTTGGGCCCTGCTATGCCTCAATGGTCCTCACAAATGATTAAGGGCAGGCACATTACAATTTTAACCGGTGCGCTTCAGTATAATAGCCCGTATCATCATTTTTTGGACAAATCTTAAACCATCACCTACATTTGTTTGAGTGCGAGAGAAACAATCTAAACCATAGCCTACGAGTTGTGGACTAAAGACCCAGACAGTGCATGAAATTTGTGTGATCACATATCAAAATTTGAGTGCTTACTTTTTGTCTTGGCACATCAACAAACCACCCTTGAGGAATGAGACCACGTGATATAGCGGGGCGGTCTAACTAGTCTGCAAGCCATTTTGGGAACAGTGTCAGTTTCTACTGCTATCAAGTGCCTACTGCTTCATAGGGGTCGAGCACGGAGCAAACCGATAACCTATTTGGACCGGTACTTTTCGGAATCTGCGTAAAGTTCCTGTCTCTCCGCGCATTGCGTTCATCTTTTCCTATTTGTTGAGAATTTCGCCACTGCCATTGAACAGCATTGTAGCTCGTTCCAAGATGGCCGCTTGGGTTGCATTCATTTTTTTCTGATACACTTGTAACTTTCATTGCCCGTCACATATGGGATATAAACCATTAGGTATGTATTACTGAACTTTTAGTTTTAACATGCAATAATACAAGTTTATGTTGAAAATGTTATAGCATTGCAAACGCAAGACCACTGCAGACTATCTGATTAACCGTGAACATCGGCAGTGGAACACACGGGCACACAAGATTATATAATGTTATATTATTTCAATGGTTATGTTTGTGTTCTTTCTGGAGCGCGTAATTTACAGAATTGAAAAATTGTCGCAGATCTGTTCATCGCAGCCAATGTTAACAGATCTGCACAGAAGCATCGACGTTAGCATGTATTCTACCAAGCTGATTTTCAAACAGTTTTCCTCAACATGCTCATAGGCTGTTGTTTCATGAAAGTGGTATCAAATATGATTTTGTCGTTGTAGCAAAATTGGCACGTTTGTTTTCAATATAGATACGTTAATTCCGTCATTCATCGAAAATAAATGGGCTTCGCAAGCCATAGGCTATAATAGACCTACGTTGTAGATAAGTTATTAAATTGACAGGATTTCGCTGTTGTGACATTTTATGCTATTGCCATTATTGCGAATATGCTGCTTTGTTTAGACAGTAAATAGTTGATAGGCTATAGCCTATTCAATTTATTTCATTCAGTTATGTTGAACAAATGGCTTTCTCACACACTGATTTGGTTTCTGTCTTGTCGCAGGAATAGGCCTAGGCTATGTTTTGTTATGTTATTCAGTCACTTGAAAAGTGTTATGAAAAGTTTAAAGATTGATGGTTTATTTCCGTGGATCATTTGATGATAAAGATCATTTATGAGTTGAGATCATGGGATCCTTAACAATTCTGTTAACATAATTAACAACGCGATGGGTACCATTCAAGATTGTTCATATCAATGCAATTTCTGTCTTTCTCTGTTGGTCAAGCATGAGTAGGCTACTAGAGAGCAATAACTCCACATTTTGCGCAATTGATGAGTGGTCGTGGACATTCATTAGGCTATTTCAATATAATTTTCAAATGTATCATCGTCGCAGTATGGTTTAATGCAATTTAGCTAGGCCTACACAAGATCAAGAGCTTATGTCTCCATCACCAATTGGCCAAATTTGGTCTCCAAATTCAGAGCACCTCTCGAATCTCATTTGAAATCAAGATAAATGCCTTGGCCTACTGGGGAGATATCTATTATTTATTTTTAAGTGTTGCTCATCATCTAGTTATGAAATAATCGGCTAATTATATATTTTTGGATTTCAGATAGGTCCTGATCATGTCTTTATGATCATTCGGCTGTGGACATTGGAATATCGGCCGACTCGAGGCTACTATTATTAGGTCTACCCAAATAAACTATGTCATCACAATCAATAATGTAGGCCTATTATTGTGATGACATTATAGTTTGACACAATAGGCTGAGGCAAAAACTCACATGTAAGCCTAAAACTTATAAATACAAATCTCTAAATGTTTCACATTTTATTCATTCTTTCAATAAAGAACACCTATTTCTCTCCACCCATAATAAGGTCAGTCGCGTTTCTTGTTGGTCAACTTTCATGCATGCATCAAAAACAGACTAATTTTCTGCAATGTGAAATTTTCTGCACTAGATCAGTCATGTCTATAGGCCTAACAATGGGATTGACCCATAATAATATTTGCAAATCTTTACAACTTGTATAAATTAAGGCATGGAAAACATTGCAACTTAGGAAGGACATTAATATGAAATATGTCTAGTCGTGTGCTTCTGTTGGGCGCATTCGAGAAAGAAAGTGAACGTTTGCGTAATTTGGGGCTTGATGCATTATTTCTCTCGTTTATGACTACAATTTCGTTGTTGCCATGTTAAGCTATACAGCCAATAGCATGCATAGTTCAATAGCACAGGACAAACATGGCTTTAAACGTTTTCACATCACAGTGAACTAACTAGCTATTGTCTTGAGGCGCATGATAATGGACACATTCGGAGATTACGTGCGTAATGCGAGCTCCCCGTTTCTTGACAGGTGTATGACGGGTCAGGGATTTGTCCAACTAAATGTTTAAATATTTTTGGAATTAACTTATTTTAGAGACATTGGGTGCGGTTTAGTTAACACACATAGCTGAGTAGAAAGAGACATGCGATTTTTGTAGGTCTGGAGTTTACACTGTCATGTTTGCGTGAACATGCGCCATAATGCCAAACATAGTGTGATACATGCCTCATAATTCTTGCTTGGTCATATAGTTCAGATAATAAAAAATGTCGAGTGTGCTGCATATTCTGTCGAGTCTACTCTGTTGCACAACCATTCGATATCGCTTTATCCACCGCATTGATCCTTTGACATTTGTGATGAATAGGCTAGGTCTTTTAATAAATCAACATGATTGATTATCAGCTGCCCACGGTAGATGCTTCTACAGCCAAGCAAGTCATTACAATAGCCTACAATTCGTACATACATATGTAGGCCTATAACACAAAGTGATTTAACAATTAGGATTGGTTAGTCCAACATTTAATTTGACAAATAGCCTACAGTGAGTTATTGTCTTGGAGCGCATGATGTGCACATATGGAGATGCATAATGCGCGCTCCCAGTTTCTCAACAGGTGTAGGAATGTATCCAATTAACTCAATTTTCCAACATAAATTGTTCACTAGGCTATTGTGTGCTCCTTTTAGAATGACCATCCGTAAGAGGGATGAAAGAGCATATTGCATCTTGTGTCAGGTCAAGCTTGCGGTTTTGTAGGCATAGCCGGTACTTCACAATCCAGTGTTTGCGTCAACACGCAGTCGCAGGAAACACTTTACTTACAATCCTTTACAGCGTCATAATGACATTGCATAACATTGACATTGCACGATCGCGTCATAATATTCCTCTAAACCTGTCAAGAAACCGGGCGCGGGATTGCACGCGTAGGCTACATTTATAAAATGTGGGTTAATAGGGGTTCTATCAAGAACCTATTTTTCTAAGAGTGTAGGCTACACTCCAAATGTAGGCTGCATATTGTGTGCCAATAACAGGGCAAATAATGGTTGTTTACTGTGTTTAAGTCAATTAAATATATTGTCACTTGGCGTTATAGGCCTAGCAAATTATTTTATGAATTGAGCTTTGGAAAAAGTTGATCATCATTCATCGGCCCATTCGCCCTATAACCAATAAAATCGCACACATTCCGGACTTGAAAACGTAGCCTAAGGCATGTGCTATCAGTTTGCACAATTTTAACCTCGCATCGAAATCAACATTTCTGTGACGTGCTTCTGGGATAGGTAGGCTATTCTAAATAAATCAAACGCTTGGCTTGAAGTGAAGAATTCTAAAAATCGAAATGGAAGCTGGAAACAAAATTCATGGTAGCAATTATAAAAGGGTAAATTTATATTAGGCTAGATAACAAATGCTATAATAAATAGGCCTACCCGATTAATATTGTATAAATTTTTCTTGGTTTAACCAATTTAAAGTCATCAAAAGAATGTCCAGATTAGTTTTTCGCAGGGTAGACATTAAAACAGTAACGAAAATGCTTTACATTCTCAAGGCCCATCATCACCCGTTTGTGCTCTGAACAGATTGCGAAACTAGGTTATATCCATTAATTATTTATTTATCCTTTCCTATAGGATTTTACCATCTTAGGACAATGCACAGAACAACAAAAATCAAGATTACCGAGCTGAATCCACACTTGATGTGTGTCTTGTGCGGGGGATATTTTATCGACGCAACCACCATCGTGGAGTGTTTACACTCATGTAAGTTGTCGTCAGTTGCATTTCATTCAAAATACCACACCATGCAAGTTGCCGTCTATGCCCATAGTTTTGAAGGATTCGTTTGGCTTAAAGTATGCAGTGTTGTGAAATTGTTTTGATTCTTTTGTCTTTTCAGTCTGTAAAATGTGCATTGTTTGTTATCTGGAGACCAGCAAATACTGTCCAATTTGTGATGTCCAGGTTCACAAAACAAAACCCCTTTTGAATATTAGGTGAGTAGCCTATATATATCGTTTTGTAAAGGCAAGAAATTAAAGTTCTATAATATTTTTAAACTCAAATATGAATGTGGAGACTTCGGGCTCAATACATTGAAACCACATTACAATATTGACATCTCTTTTCCAAGTAAACCCTAGCTCAGAAATTAATCATACAATTTGCTGAAAATATTATATTTCAGGTCTGACAAGACCCTTCAAGACATTGTTTACAGGTTGGTACCAGGGCTTTTCAAAGGTCAGTACATTTTCCCGTTCATCCCCTCAAGTTGGTTTGTAACATGTCAAGTCCATCGTAATACTTTTTTTTTAAAATATTATTTTGCTTGCAGATGAAATGAAACGAAGGAGGGATTTCTATGCTGCACATCCTTCTCTTGATGGTAAACCAGTTGAATCAATGGCGAAGCACCTCAAGCATATCATTGCTACTTCAATGTTCATGTTTCTTTATCATTAGAAAGAGGCGAATTGGCACACTTGAATACTTGGCTGGTTTTAATTGTTAGTTTCTTATTTTGTAGCTGGAAATGGATCAAATGAAGAGCGAGGGGAGGTGGCAGACGGAGAAAATAGAATAATAGCAGATGATGAGATTATCAGCCTGTCCATCGAATTTTTTCATCAGAGCAAGTAAGACCGCTTTCAAACCGCAAAAACAATTATGCTTAAAAAATTGCAGCCAACCCCCATGCTTGTCAATTATTTCGGTGCTCTTTTTCCAATTGTATATTTTGCTTTTCTCTTAGGCTGGTAAAGGAGGACGGTGAAGTCAAGGACATGAAGACAGAGGTGATTGTTTTAACCCTAAGAAAATCGTATTGGTGTCTTTAAAATGTATGCACTCACTAACTGTAAGTCGCTCTGGATAAGATTGTCTGCTAAATGACAATAATGTAAATGTTTATATACAGGGTAAATCCATATGACTGTAAACTAATGCAGTGTTTATCATGTCTCAACTCAACGTATCTTTTTTTGTCTATTTGTTTGAAGATGATTGACAAGCGGTACTTGCAGTGTCCAGCAGCCATGACCATAATGCATCTGAGGAAATTCCTCCGAAGTAAAATGGATATTCCATGCACCTATCAGGTGACTATGGATATTTAATCACTGATTATTAATGTTATTATTTGAAATTCAGTTAACAATGAATCTATCCGAAATGTTGTGCATTTGTATAGACATTGTTGAATTAAAAAATAAATATAAATACACTATACAACTGATTAATTATGGTTAGATTATTATTTTTAGTTTTAGGGGGTAGATCAGCTTAATACTGCAGATAGATTGTAACTTCCATCAATGTAATTGTCTGCATCACTTCCAATCCCCCATGTTTATATATGTTTATTATACATCATTCATACATAATACATATACATTACATACACCATACTGCTACGAGAAAAAGTATTTGATCCCGCTGATTTGTACGTTTGCCACTGACAAAGAATGATCCTATAATTTTATGGTATAATTATTTGAACGTGAGAGACGAATTAACAACAAAATCCAAAAATTCAAATTGTATAATATTAATTTGCATTTTATTGAGTGAAATAAGTATTTGACATCTCAATCAGAACTTTTGTCCCAGTGTCTGTTCTATACCACTCCTCCATACAGACCTTCTCCAGATACTTCAGGTTTCGGGGCTGTCGCTGGGCAATATGGACTTTCAGCTCCCTCCAAAGATTTTCTATTGGGTTCAGGTCTGGAGACTGGCTAGGCCACTTCAGGACCTTGAGATGCTTCTTACGGAGCCACTCCTTAGTTGCCCTGGCTGTGTGTTTCGGGTTGTTGTCATGCTGGAAGACCCAGCCATGACCCATCTTCAATGCTCTTACTGAGGGAAGGAGGTTGTTGGCCAAGATCTCGCGATACATGGCCCCATTCATCCTCCCCTCAATACGGTACAGTCGTCCTGTCCCCTTTGCAGAAAAGCATCCCCAAAGAATGATGTTTCCACCTCCATGATTCACGGTTGGGATGGTGTTCTTGGGGTTGTACTCATCCTTCTTCTTCCTCCAAACACGGCGTGTGGAGTTTAGACCAAAAAGCTATATTTTTGTCTCATCAGACCACATTACCTTCTCCCATTCCTCCTCTGGATCATCCAGATGGTCATTGGCAAACTTCAGATGGGCCTGGACATGCGCTGGCTTGAGCAGGGGGACCTTGCGTGCGCTGAAGGATTTTAATCCGTGACCGCGTAGTGTGTTACTAATGGTTTTCTTTGAGACTGTGGTCCCAGCTCTCTTCAGGTCATTGACCAGGTCCTGCCGTGTAGTTCTGGCCTGATCCCTCAACTTCCTCATGATCATTGATGCCCCACGAGGTGAGATCTTGCATGGAGCCCCAGACCGAGGGTGATTGACCGTCATCTTGAACTTCTTCCATTTTCTAATAATTGCGCCAACAGTTGTTGCCTTCTCACCAAGCTGCTTGCTTGTTGTCCTGTAGCCCATCCCAGCCTTGTGCAGGTCTACAATTGTATCCCTGATGTCCTTACACAGCTCTCTGGTCTTGGCCATTGTGGAGAGGTTGGAGTCTGTTTGATTGAGTGTGTGGACAGGTGTCTTTTATACAGGTAACGAGTTCAAACAGGTGCAGTTAATAGAGGTAATGAGTGGAGAACAGGAGGGCTTCTTAAAGAAAAACTAACAGGTCTGTGAGAGACGGAATTCTTACTGGTTGGTAGGTGATCAAATACTTATGTCATGCAATAAAATGCACAATAATTACTTAAAAATCATACAATGTGATTTTCTGGATTTTTGTTTTAGATTCCGTCTCTCACAGTTGAAGTGTACCTATGATACAAATGACAGACCTCTACATGCTTTGTAAGTAGGAAAACCTGGAAAATCGGCAGTGTATCAAATACTTGTTCTCCCCACTGTATGTATACATACATACATACATACATACATACATACATACATACATACATACATACATACATACATACATACATACATACATACATACAGTGAGGGAAAAAAGTATTTGATCCCCTGCTGATTTTGTACGTTTGCCCACTGACAAAGAAATGATCAGTCTATAATTTTAATGGTAGATGTATTTGAACAGTGAGAGACAGAATAACAACAAAAAAATCCAGAAATACGCATGTCAAAAATTTTATAAATTGATTTGCATTTTAATGAGGGAAATAAGTATTTGACCCCCTCTCAATCAGAAAGATTTCTGGCTCCCAGTTGTCTTTTATACAGGTAACGAGCTGAGATTAGGAGCACACTCTTAAAGGGAGTGCTCCTAATCTCAGTTTGTTACCTGTATAAAAGACACCTGTCCACAGAAGCAATCAATCAATCAATCAGATTCCAAACTCTCCACCATGGCCAAGACAAAGAGCTCTCCAAGGATGTCAGGGACAAGATTGTAGACCTACACAAGGCTGGAATGGGCTACAAGACCATCGCCAAGCAGCTTGGTGAGAAGGTGACAACAGTTGGTGCGATTATTCGCAAATGGAAGAAACACAAAAGAACTGTCAATCTCCCTCGGCCTGGGGCTCCATGCAAGATCTCACCTCGTGGAGTTGCAATGATCATGAGAACGGTGAGGAATCAGCCCAGAACTACACGGGAGGCTCTTGTCAATAATCTCAAGGCAGCTGGGACCATAGTCACCAAGAAAACAATTGGTAACACACTACGCCGTGAAGGACTGAAATCCTGCAGCGCCCGCAAGGTCCCCCTGCTCAAGAAAGCACATATACAGGCCCGTCTGGTTTGCCAATGAACATCTCAGTGATTCAGAGGAGAACTGATTGAAAGTGTTGTGGTCAGATGAGACCAAAATGGAGCTCTTTGGCATCAACTCAACTCGCCGTGTTTGGAGGAGGAGGAATGCTGCCTATGACCCCAAGAACACCATCCCCACCGTCAAACATGGAGGTGGAAACATTATGCTTTGGGGGTGTTTTTCTGCTAATGGGACAGGACAACTTCACTGAATCAAAGGAACGATGGACGGGGCCATGTACCGTCAAATCTTGGGTGGGAACCTCCTTCCCTCAGCCAGGGTACTAAGTCATGTTTTGCAGAGGGGTCAAATACTTATTTCCCTCATTAAAATGCAAATCAATTTATAAAAATTTTAGATTCGATTTTAACTAGAGTTTCACACTGTTTTTTTATTAATTATTATTCACACCTAATCTTTTCTCTCAAAATGTGTTCACAGGTAGAAGTTATGTATGAAGATGAACCATTGAAGGATTACTACACATTAATGGACATTGCACACATCTACACCTGGAGAAGGGTAAGCATTTACCCTTGCACTTCAACACATGTCATTTAGTTTTTTCTAATAAGACCTGGAAATGATATGCTGTGCTGTTTTCCTTATTTATAAGTATAAGGTGGCTCATCTGAGAATATGGCTATAAGTCACAGAAAAGTCACCTGTACACATTAACTAATCTTCACGTGTTTTAGAATGGTCCCTTGCCACTGAAATACCGGGTACGAACAGGCTGCAGGAAGACGAAGATGAGCAACCCAAGAAACGGGACCAAAACCACACAACATGGTGGAGGAGAATGCTCAGACTCTGGGACTGGGGGTGACAAGCATCCGAACAATGACCCCGAAGTTCCCTCTACCTCATCCTCCTCTCTGCCCAGTCCGAGCCCCAGCATTGTCCAGTCATCATCACCGCTTACCCACTTCCCCCACCTCTCCAGCACTAACACCTCAACAAACGGTATCTTAACAAAAGCAGGTCCAAATGGACTTTCCCGGACCTTCACGCCAACATAGACTGTAGATTATTTTATTATTGTTTCAAACATTTGCCATTTTTATATAATCCTATGTGGACAATATATTTGTTCATTTGTATAAGAAAGACTGTGGAAAGACTTATTGAATTTGCTCAATGGCATCTGCAGATCGGATTTGAAATGGCTAGCCCAGTAATGTGCCATGTGGTTTGGAATGTGAAGAAATATCACACATTAATTTCAAACTTGGACATTCCAATTATTCCCATAACTGAATTGCCAAATACTGTAGTTGATTGAAATGGAAATGTGGTGTTGGCTTCGTCAACTTCATTTGTCAAAACAACACAGAAAAGTGAAAAGTTGACTATTGTCCTCTGCATACATGTAATGTTGAATTTAATAAACACAACCTGATTGTGTTTTGGCTTTAAGGGTGAAGTCTGCAATAGGTACTGCTGTTAAATGGTCATTTCAATTAATGATATACACTATATATATAAAGTATGTTGACACCCCTTCAAATGAGTGGATTTGGCTATTCCAGCCACACCCATTGCTAACAGGCGTATAAAATCGAGCACACAGCCATGCAATCTCCATAGACAAACATTGGCAGTAGAATGGCCTTACTGAAGAGCTCAGTGACTTTCAACGTGGCACCGTCATAGGATGCCACCTTTTCCAACAAGTCAGTTTGTCAAATTCCTGCCCTGCTAGAGCTTTCCCAGTCATCTGTAAGTGCTGTTATTGTGAAGTGGAAAGGTCTAGGAGCAACAACAGCTCAGCTGTGAAGTGGTAGGCCACACAAGCTCACAGAATGGGACCGGGGAGTGCTGAAGCGCGTAGCGCGTAAGAATTGTCTGTCTTCGGTTGCAACACTCACTACCGAGTTCCAAACTGCCTCTGGAAGCAATGTCAGCACAAGAACTGTTCGTCGGGAGCTTCATGAAATGGGTTTCCATGGTCGAGCAGTCGCACACAAGCCTAAGATCACCATGAAAAATGCCAAGCGTCGGCTGGAGTGGTGTAAAGCTTACCGCCATTGGACTCTGGAGCAGTGGAAACGCGTTCTCGGGAGTGATGAATCACGCTTCACCATCTGGCAGTCCGACGGACTAATCTGGGTTTGGCGGACGCCAGAAGGACGCTATCTGCCCCAATGCATAGCGCCAACTGTAAAGTTTGGTGGAGGAGGAATAATGGTCTGGGGCTGTTTTCATGGTTCGGGCTAGACCCCTTAGTTCTTGTGAAGGGAAATCTTAACGCTACGGCATACAATGACATTCTAGACGATTCTGCGCTTCCAACTTTGTTTCAGCATGGCCCTTTCCTGTTTCAGCATGACAATGCCCCTGTGCACAAAGCGAGGTCCATACAGAAATGGTTTGTCGAGATCAGTGTGGAAGAACTTGACTGGCCTGCACAGAGCCCTGACCTCAACCCCATCGAACACCTTTGTGATGAATTGGAACGCTGACTGCGAGCCAGGCCTAATCGCCCAACATCAGTGCCCAACCTCACTAATGCTGTTGTGGCTGAATGGAAGCAAGTCCCCACAGCAATGTTCCAACATCTAGAGGAATGCCTTCCAGAAGAGTGGAGGCTGTTATAGCAGGGGGGACCAACTGCCCTGATTTCGGAATGAATGTTCGCGAGTGACCCTTTGTCATGTAGTGTATATAGGCTACTCAATCTGATCATACCAATTCTTGAGATATTAAGGTGGGTGGAGATTTTGCCCCTTGTGTTAGATTGATTGAGTGGGAAAAAACAATTAATCATTTTAGATACGGCTGTACCTAACAAATTGGAAAAGTCAGGTGTTGAATATTTCTGAGGACGTATTTGGCTCCTCTGTGAAGTGTGCATGTGCACAAACTCAATTCGACCTTGCACTCCTTCTAAACAACACAATTTTGGAAAACTTTGGCAAAGCGTCAAGCCTATAAAACTGTGCACTGTGTTTGCAACAGATTTCAGTTTTTGGAACAGAAACATTTGAGATCAGATGTTTCATCAATGAGAAAATTAGCAGAATGTAGGTCCAGTTTCACCTAGTTCCATCCTCTCCCACTACCCATGACTCGACTTCCTCTCACTACCATATTTGGTGGTGAGAAAACGTTCTAAAAAGATGCTTCAACTTTATGCCATTGTGACATGTTTGGGTTTCCCCTTTTGTCTGTGAAGCAATGTTGATGAAAAATGCCCCAAGAGGATTGTGAAGTTGGTGGAGACTTGTTCAAAAAAGATTTACTGCTATATTTACTGTGAAAGGTACCGCCACCAAGTTGACTCAAGGGCGTGAATAGCCATGCAGGATGGTACAAATCCTTCAATTGTACAAATGTGATTAATTAATTTTAGGAATGAACCAGTTCCAATATGTTTATTTATAGCAGTAGTATTGTGTCTTTTGTTAATTGTTTAAATCTTTTTTTTTAAATCCAATTTACATCCTTGCTTCATTACATCTGCTCAGAACAATATTAGGGGCACTGGTTAAAATGTACATCGTTTTAATGAGTTTTCAATGTCTTTAAATGGGGGCTGTGAGAGAGCTGGCCTTACTAGATCACTTAAAAATGCTTAAAAACAAACTGAGAAGTAAATTGTGCAAAAATGCTTAATTTTTTTGTAAAATGCAGGACAAACCAAGTAAAAGGTACAAAACCCATGGCTAAAACTGTGGCTCACCTTACACCCACAAGGATCTCTAAAACAATAGGCAGGTTTACATTGACCCAGTTTATTCGACAAAAGCAATGTCGCAAAATAAAATCATTGCGACATGTGTAATATAAACATCAGATATAGAAGCAATTTGATAAAGATTGACAACATTTATATCCGTTCGACAGGGTTGGATTTTTCTTTTGTCTAACTTCCTTTATTGCGACAAATGATGATGGAAACGGTTTTTCAAATAAATGATTATTGCCGAATACTTGAAGGTACGCGGGGCACGTGATGTCCACTCTACATTTGAATTCTAATTGCTTACTGCTTTCAAAATACTGACATTCAAGAATGCCTGACTTGCTTCCCTTTGCTTTTCTGTTAGGCTAACAAGTTTCACCATCCAATTATTTCAGATCTACAGGAGTGCAAGTTTCACCATGGCACCGACTAGCCTAAGCATCCATGTGCGCTAGATCCGTGGCGATGCACGTGATAATTATTAGAATATGGCAAATATTAGTAAATTATTGCATTCTATCCATGCTGGCTTTCACGGGCTACCTGATACATGAAACAGATAGATGGGAGGTCATACAGGCTGTCGCCAATTTATTAATGCTCAATTTGCCTAAATGGGTAACGGAAATACTTCAGCCACTACATTTCCATTCAACGTTAGGGTCTTCTTCTTCTATGATATCATGGCGGTCCGCAAACAATCATTTAAGTGCATGCCGCCACCTACTGTTCTGGAATGTACAATCAATCATGATCTGAACAATTCTGTACTACCATGAAAATAAAATTAAAAAACCAAATAAATCACTTCTACCACACCCTCCCCCCTCCCCCCCAAAACCCCTCCCCAACCCCATTAAACTTAATCTATATAATGCTGAAACACTCCACCCTTAGGATTGTTCAGAATGTCAACAACCATTTCAACAGTAAACATCTGTTACCCCCAATATCTCTTTTGCCATCTCCACAATAACCTTCAACCTGGCATTTCTGCTTTCCACAACCCGAGTCGTATTGATAACCTTACCAATAAAAGCTATGAAGTCAACTTTATTCATTATCAAAGTGTCCTTTGACACCGCACATACATGAGCACAAGATTTCTGAAATCGAAACCATGCCAGGACAATCAGAAGCACCAGCCCCGACAGTAGGTCCACTTACTACAGGTACATCCATGTAACCTCCATCAGTCCGCACTGTAGTTCTACCAATCTGTTTTATGGCCTCTGCATGGGACATGTGTTCTCCCCACACAATTACAGCACTTAACCTTCAAATTGTTTCCACATTCACCGCAATCATGTGCACCTCCACACTTGGCACATATTTTCTTTCCTTTACACTGAGCAGCTACATGTCCCATTCTTTGGCATTTAAAACACTGCAGTGCATATGGGACAAATTCTCAAACACTGAAACTAAGGAATCCTATCTGTACTTTTCCCGGCAAGACATTCTCAAACCTCAGCATCAGTGATAAGCTTTCACTTCTTTGTCCCTCTTTCCTACTGATCAACCTTTTGGCCTTAATCACTCTGCCTCCCTTCACATTTTCTTTAATATCATCTGTGGACATAGATATTGGGACCCCAGTGAAGACTTCTCTCAATCTAGCACAAGCACCAGGGACATGCCTTTTAATCTTCTTCCCATTAAGCTTTTCCATTTTCAGAATCTTCTCTTGCTGTGCCTGGCTACCACACAATATTAACAATCTACCATTTCCAATTAACCGAGCTAATTTCACTTCACCTACCGCTTTCTCTACGGCATTAGTTAGTCTGATAGGGTGTAAGTGAGGCCTTGTTGTCTCATCAAACACTATCACCACTTTCCACTCCAACACATCATTACTCTTGCTTCCTACCTTGGCCAACTTTATGCTTTCTTTACTAGACACTCCTCCACTGCTTTCTGTATCATGATCTCTCTTCTTTCTGTCTTTCACCTACTGACCATTCCGGTCCTTGACCTTCATCCTCCCGCTCCAAACAATCAGAACTGACACCCACATTGTTTGCATTCCAGCACAGCTGTTGCTTCACCAACTTTTTCTCAATTTCCTCCATTCCGTCCGCACTACTCGCCGTCATTTCCGACCTCCAACCCTCCCCACCCTTGTCAGCTGTCTCGACACTAGATTTTTGTGAAAGTGTGATGTCATTACGTCCAGCTGTTTTTATTGACACAAAGTAGTTACATGGAAATTGTCACATCACTTTCTATGCGAACTTTCTAAATGTCAACAAGAAAAATCACTGGACTGGTTTATGGAAACATAGCTACTGACACCTGCTGTTAAAAGCAGTTCCTTCAATAATTAGGTCAAAGGGACCACACCTGTGTTCAAACAGCCACTCAACTAACCTGCCAATTAAGATTCAGAGCCAATTAACAGGGAAGCGGTGCAATTTACATTGTAGCTATAGTATTGCCTGGAATGATGAATGGTTTATCCAATAAATACGAAATAAAGACTCCAGCCACCCAAGTCAAAGACTCCAGCCACCCAAGTCATACTGTTCTCTCTGCTACCGCACAGCAAGCCAAAAGGCTCCTTAACAGCTTCTACCATGCTTCACCATCCCTACGGTGAAGCATGGTGGTGGCAGCATCATGCTGTGGGGATGTTTTTCAGCGGCAGGGACTGGGAGACTAGTCAGGATCGAGGGAAATATGAATGGAGCAAAGTACAGAGAGATCCTTCATGAAAACCTGCTCCAGAGCGCTCAGGACCTTAGAC